ACAAGCTGTGGAACAACTAAGCCTGTGTGTCACAACTACTGAGCCTGTGCTCTAGAGCCCAGGCACCACAGCTACTGAGCCCACGCACCACAACTGCTGAAACCTGCGTGCCCTAGAGCCTGTGCGCTGCAACTACTGAGCCCATACGCCTCAACTACTGAAGCCCACGCACCCTAGAGCTTGCATGCCACAACTACTGAGCCCACATGCCTCAACTACTGAAGCCTGTGCACTCTAGGGCCTGCACGCCACAACTACTGAGCCCGCATGCTGCAACTACTGAAGCCCACGCAGCTAGAGCCTGTGCTTCACAATAAGAGAAGCCACTGCAGTGAGAAGCCTGTGCACCACAATGAAGAGTAGCCCCTGCTTGCCACAACTAGAGAAAGCCCGCGTGCCACAACTAGAGAAAGACCGCGTGCAGCAACAAAGACGCAATGCAGCCAAAAAAAAAAAAAAAAAGACAAAGACTTGTTTTCTTTGTCAGGAGAAAGAAAACAATACAATAAACCAACTAGATCAAACATAAATATACAGAACATTCTACCCCAAAATAACAGAATATACATACTTCTCAGGGGCATATGGGACATTCTCCAGGGTAGATCATATGTATACTAGGCTATAAATCGTCTTAATAGATTTTTAAAAAATTTATTTATTTTCAGTATCTGCAAATCAATCAGTGTGATACACCACATTAACAAACTGAACAATAAAAACCATATGATCATCTCAGTAGATGCAGAAAAAGCTTTTGAGAAAATTCAGTGGAATGGGATAGGAAGCTCAGAAATAAACCCAGACACCTATGGTCAATGAGTCCGTGACAAAGGAGGTAAGAATATATAATGGAGAAAAGACGGTCTCTTCAATAAGTGGTGCTGGGAAAACTGGACAGCTACATGTAAAAGAATGAAGTTAGAACACTCCCTAACACCATACACAAAAATAAACTCCAAATGGATTAAAGACTTAAATGTAAGACCAGACACTATAAAACTTTCAGAGGAAAACATAGGACAAACACTCTTTGACATAAACCACAGCAAGATCTTTTTTGACCCATCTCCTAGAGTAACAGAAATTAAAACAAAAATAAACAAATGGGACTTAATTAAACTTAAAAGCTTTTGCACAGCAAAGGAAACCATAAAGAAAACGAAAAGACAACCCATAGAATGGGAGAAAATATTTTCAAACAAAGCAAACTACAAAGGGATTAATCTCCAAAATATACAAAGAGCTCAAATACCTCAATACCAAAAACAAAAACCCCCCAAAAAACAACCCAATCCCCAAATGGGCAGAAGACCTAAATACACATTTCTCCAAAGAAGATATACAGATTGCCAACAAACACATGAAAGGATGCTCAACATCACTAATCATTAGAGAAATGCAAATCAAAACTACAATGAGGCATCACTTCACACCAGTCAGAATGGCCATCGTCAAAAGGTCTACAAACAATAAATGCTGGAGAGTGTGTGGAGAAAAGGCAACCCTCTTCCACTGTTGGTGGGAATGTAAATGGTACAGCCACTATGGAGAACAGTATGGAGGTTCCTTAAAAAACTAAAAATAGAGTTACCATATGACCCAGCAATCCCACTACTGGGCATATATCTGGAGAAAACCATAATTAAACAGATACATGCACCCCAATGTTTATTGCAGCACTATATCCAATAGCCAAGACATGGAAACAAACTAAATGTCCACTGACAGAGAAATGGATAAAGAAAATGTGCTACATTTTTACAATGGAATATTACTCAGCCACAAAAGGGAACAAAATAATGCCATTTGCAACAACATGGATGGACCTAGAGATTATCATAGTAAATGAAGTAAGTCAGACAGAGAAAGACAAATATCATATAATATCACTCATATGTGGAATCTAATTTTAAAAATGATACAAATGAACTTATTTACAAAACAGACTTACAGATATTGAAAACAAATTTATGGTTACCAAAGGGGAAACGTGGTGGGGAGTGATGAATCAGAAGCTTGGGATTAACATACACACACTACTTACCCTACATAAGATAGATAACCAATAAGGACCCTAGTATATGGCACAGGGAATTCTACTCAATATTCTGTGATAACCTATATAAGCAAAGAATCTGAAAAAGAATGAATATACATATATGTATAACTGAATCCCTCTGCTGAACATCTGAAGCTGTACATCTGAAACTAACACAAAATTGTAAATCAACTATAATTCAATAAAATAAAAAAAAAACCCATGCACCTATGGTCAATTAATCCATGACAAACAAGACAAGAATATACAATGGAGAAAACACAGTCTTTTCAATAAGTGGTGCTGGGAAAACTGGACAGCAACATGTAAAAGAATGAAATTAGAACATTCTCTAACACCACACACAAAAATAAACTCAAAATGGATCAAAGACCTAAATGTAAGGCCGGACACTATAAAACTCTTAGAGGAAAACATAGGCAGATCACTTTTTTACATAAATCGCAGCAATATCTTTTTTGATCCACTTCCTAGAGTAATAAAAATAAACAAATAGGACCTAATTAAACTCAAAATCTTTTGCAAAGCAAAGGAAACCATAAATAAAAAGACAAGACAACCCTCAGAATGGGAGAAAATATTTGCAAATGAAACAACCAACAGGGGATTAATCTCCAAAATATACAAACAGCTCATGCAGCTCAATATCTAAAAAACAAACAACCCGATCCAAAAAATGGGCAGAAGAGTGATACCTCCACATTTGTTCTTCTTTCTCAAGACTGATTTGGCTATTTGGGGTCATTTATGGTTCCATACAAATTTTACGATTTTTTTCTACTTGAAAACGCCATGGGAATTTTGATAGGGATTGCATTGAATCTGTAGATTACTTCGGGTGGTATGGATATTTTAACAATATTTATTTGTCTGATCCATGAATGTGGAATTTTTTCCATTTGTTGGTGTCTTCTTCTTCATTTTCTTTCGCCAAAGACTTGTAGTTTCAGTGTACAAATCTTTCACCTTCTTGGTTAAATATATTCCTAACTACTTTAATTTTTTTGATGCTCTTATAGCATTTTTAACTGGTTGGAATTTTGAAATCTGGCAAATAGAGAAACCATCTTCATGGCTCATTCCATCTCAAACCATCATACAGTTCCTACATCTAAGAATTTTCTCCCTAGAATTACCACTTTAGTTTGATCTAAAGAGCAAGCTCCACTCAAATCTGACCTACTTAGACCAAAGTCTCACTTGCAGACACCTCATGCTGGAGGAAAAGCAGTGTGCTGGCTTCTCAGCTCTCAGCTGTGAGGAATCCTAGGTTACCCTGGTAATGAGGCAGAAAACTGCAAAAAGCCTGACCAGCAAAGCAGAAAGGAGGCCAAAGAAAGACCAACTAATTTATAAAATGAACGATACTATTGGATCTCATACAATGAAATACTGTAAACTTAATAAAAACTCCGTAAGGTTCATGATTGTATAATATTTATAAAAATAAGTCCTCTATGTTGTAAAATACTAGCTACTAATTAAAACTAAAGAGTGCTCAAACTAATGTGGTTTACATCCAAACAGTATTTACAAACAGGACTTTTGTGAATGTAGTTCTTCCTTGGCCCTGTATTTTGTGGAGTTCTGACACTTTGCTCTCATGATTCTGACGTAATGCAGGATTATGCCTTGGTTTTCTTTTACCATCACTCTTTTATTTTTGAATATCAATCAGTCACATTTTAATATTACCCTTGCACTTTAACATATATCTCCATCTGATCATGTTTCAGTATAAAGTGTTTTATCATCATCATTCCTTTTAAAAGAGGTTCCAGGAATACACTTTTAATAAAACAGGATTTTAAGAACAAAAAATGGTAACCAGGAGACAAAGGGTGCTTTGACAGTATGCCTAGATTTATGCATTAAAACAAACTAATTAAAAAATGAAGTTTAAGTGGCATTTTGTTCTCAGTTTTTAAACATTTTTAACAATTACTTTAGCCAGAACCCCTGAATTTGTCCACAAACACCATGGGTCCAATTAGCTTATCTTCAAAAGCATCTTTTCAATAGACAATTGGCTAAGAAATAAAACAAAGAAGACAACATTCAAAATGTGTACCCCAGTCCCATTTTGGAGGCATTTAGTGAACAAGAGTCTCTATTGCATACTAAGCAGGCAGGTCACAATTGGCCCAGAAGTCCTAAATAATGATGATTTGCCTCTGAAATTTCCCTTATGGTTTTACAATGTTCCATTTAGACACACAGCAGTCCAGAACCAATACTAATCCAGCAGCGTTTTTCAAGTAATCGAGAGTATATTTTTCAAAAACAATCTATGCATAATACTGTAATTAGGGTACAAAGGAATTGAAAGCTTAACAAAACCTTACCGAAACGAGAGTCTGCACAAAATCAAGAAGATCATAGAAATATTTAGTATTGTATCTCATTTTCTGTTAAAACTTTCAAAAGCTACTGAACACAAAAAGCTTTAAACATGAAAAGGGAAGTCGAAGTCTTGATTTTTGTTCTGAAAATTTTCATTCTTAAAATATTACACGAGAGCTTCCCTGGTGGCGCAGTGGTTAAGAATCTGCCTGCCAACGCAGGGGACACGGGTTCGAGCCCTGGTCCGGGAAGATCCCACATGCCGCGGAGCAACTAAACTCATGCGCCACAACTACTGAGCCTGTGCTCTAGAGCCTACAAGCCACAACTACTGAGCCTGTGAGCCACAACTACTGAGCCCGTGAGCCACAACTACAGGAGCCCGCATGCCTAGAGCCCGTGCTCCGCAGCAAGAGAAGCCACCACAATGAGAAGCCTGCGCACCGCAACGAAGAGTAGCCTCCGCTCGCCACAACTAGAGAAAGCCTGCTTGCATTAACAAAGACCCAACGCAGTCAAGAAAGTAAAATAAATTTATAAAAAAAAATTACACTAACATGAAAAATAATTTATGTTGAATTCTCCACATACGAACCATAATCTTCTATTCAAAAATGTTGATACTTCATTTCTTTACTAAATATCTTGTGATGTCTGATCCATGCTTTGATGCTAGAGATCGTCTTCTCACCTGACTTCTTTCCTTGGCTTGTCTTGCAGTTCTCTAAGAGTTAAAAAAAAAATGCATGTGTACACATGTTAAAAAAAAAAGTACTGGCTACAGAAACTCAAAAACTCTTTGTATTCTGTTAAAAAAATATACATTATCAACACACTCATTTACCAGTGCTTTGCAATGAGGGGGTTACTAAGCCACAAGCAGAGGACTCCAGTAGCTCTGAGGTCGTAGGTTCACTTAGGACCAGATGCTGAGGAGAAAATGCACAGCTTTGGGGGCTGTCTTGCTACCCAGTGAGATGGTAAATACCTCATTTGTGGACTAGGGGAGGCCATGATTCCCCTCACCCACATGGCAATTTCCCAGACTGTAGTGTGTGCAGGGCCCACCCACCTCCTGTTCTCTGGGCTCTGAAGCCTTTCCCAACCCAACAGCCAAGCCAACGCAAAAAACCAAAACGAGATAGAACAGAACTGGATTCTTCTGCTGCTCCCACAAATAAAGTTTTTCATAAGACTCTGAAAAAGTGATTACAGAGGGTGCAACATTCTCTTTTGCTATATCTTCATTTTCTTATAGGTCTTGAATGTGCTAATAATTTGCACAGCTGAGAAATCAGATGACTTTTTTTCCCCAGCTGAAGTCCATGTACATGTGAAGTGATCCAGGTGGAAGGGGTAAGGAGAGAAAAAAGGTTAAAACTAAAAATAAATAAAAAGCCCTGCTTATGAGATGATCCCGTTTATGTAAATATTATGTTTGTGGAGAAATTGAGGAATCTGAAATATTAAAAGGAGGCTAAGAAAGTGCTCATATGATATGAACACTTGCAAAGGAGCTGAACAGTTCTCAAAAGTGTAGGACTTCCCTGGTGGTCCAGTGGTTAAGACGCCACGCTTCCAACGCAGGGTGCATGGGTTTGCTCCCTGGTCGGGGAACTAAGATCCCATATAGCGCATGGCACGGCCAAAAAATGAAAGAAAAAAAAAGGTGTAAATACAATTGATTAGCATTTTTACAAACATCAGGGTCTTTTGTAAACACAATAATTCTTCTCTCACCGCATCGGCAATAACAAGTGCAGTTAAACGGGCACTCCCGTTCAGTGCCGGGGGGGGGGGGGGGGGGGGGGGGGGGGAGGAGCGTATATGAGCGTAGTCCTTTGGAAAACAGCTTGGAGAAAATTTATCTCCTACAGTCTCAAAAATATCTAAACACTTGACTCAGTGATTTTTACATCTGAGAATCTAAAGGAACAACCTCAAAATGTAAAAAATTATATACAGAAAAACGCGGTTGGCAGCATTGTGTATATGCACCAAAAAATGTAAACAACTTCAATGTTCATCAGTATGAGAATGGCTGAATAAACCAAAGTAGAAACGTATTCAACAGGACAATAGCAGCCATTTCAGATGATAAACACTGAATGCTTATCATGGGAATGGGAAAATGCTTAAATGTTGCCATAATTAAAAAAAAAAGTTGGATACAAAGTTGCATATTGAATGTGTGCTTCTTTCTAAGATTATATCTCAAGAGGCAGATCCTATGACCTTTTGCTGAACTGCCTGTTAAAAATTCATCCTAGTTGACAGACAATATTATGTCATTCTCCTCTTCTCCTCTTAAGCAATAGGTAATTGCTCCAAGATGTACCAAGGTTAACAGGTTTCACATTTAGGTCAGCAGTGTAATGTTTGCATGTTGAACTGAGTTGGTCCTAGAGATAATTTATTAATGTTCTCAGATATTTCAGGACATATTTAGCTGCAGATGCAAACATATGTCACTGTCCCCATTTACTAAACTTCTAGTTTGAGGATCTGGATCTTTTCAAGACTATGCAATATGTAAGTTGTATTCATTTTCTTCTAGGTGGTGGTGAAAATTTCCTGGTCCTAGAATGAATAGAAAGGGAAGCAGTTTGTTTTTCATCTGTGACTGAGAACTTGCATAGGCCCCAAGAGAAAACTCAAGTGTTAAGTGATGAAAAGAATAAAATAAATCTCGGATCCCAGACTAGGGATATAGATTCACACACGTAATCTTCCACACCTGTATGCACAATTTTCAATTTGATATCTCAAGATGGAGTCAAATGTGTCTGCGAGCTTCACTGACCTCTTTGTGACAGATTGTGCAGAGGGTCTGCAGGTTGTCCAGGGAGCACTGTCCTCCTCCACCAGACACTGGCTTGATGTGGTCCACCTGCCAGAAATGCCCTTCCCCTGGGTTTCTTATCATTTCATTAAGCTGTAATAAGAACACAAGATCAGCAATTTTCAACATACACTGTGGGAACTGTTGGGTTTGCATTGTGCAATCATGTTCACACAGCAGAATCACAGGGAAAAATACATTAGGATGGTTTAGCTTTTTTTTTTTTATAGCTTTTATTGTGAGTAGGAAAAACCCTCTAGGTTAGCAATTTGAAAGCAATAAAAAATATGTTTCTGAAAAAGGTTTTTTCCCCCCCTTACCTAACCCATTTTGAAAAAATTACAAGCAAGTATAAAATACCAAGCCTTCTGACAGACTGGGAAAAATCAATTGCTTCTGCACCTTTGAGCTAGTTTATATAGTCACTAAAACAAAACTGAGAAAAAAAAAAAAGAACAGATTAGAAATGAAAAACTTCTGAATATTACTGACTCGTCTTTTAATTGTTGACCTAAATGCATTTGTTAGTATACCAATGACAGTTTAATATTAACAGATATCACCCAGAACTTTTATGCTATTACCTGGGAACCTCCTAAGTTACATGGACTGGAATCAAATTTCTAGAACAAATCTCTGTTGCTTGCATATTTGGAATAAAAAAGATGTTCATTTAAAGCAGCCACTATTTAGGCCAGTCCATATATGCATACTTCATATTTAACGAATAATAACCTACATTCAAACGGGATGTATTTTAGCATTTTATCTGAGGTAGTAAAACCAGCTCACAACATAGCAGTGTAGAGTTGTTTAAATATCACAAAGACGAGTGTGAAGACGATATTATAATATCTTCCTTGTTCCTTGGTCTTGAACAAGGAAGATATTATAATCGACTTCAAGGCTGCTGGCCATGGGAATCTGTGACATAGCTCTAAAGTGCTTTAGGAAAGTTGTCAGGCCCATGGATGGCTCAGGGACCTTAGCAGCAGTGTCTGGCCCAAGAGCAGCCCCAGGAAGCAGCAAATTGGAGCAGTAACCTTTGTCCACCTTAACTCTGTTACAGATGGACTGACTGTCTCTTCTACACTGAACTTCCCAAATTCTGTTAGAAGATATATAATGGTTTTTATTTTTGAGGTTGGCATTGTGGGAGGAGACTTCATGTGGCAGTCTTGTGCATCAAACAAATGGCATATTCTTAGGAAAAAAAATCCATTTTGGTTCTGTCTTTTGTAACCGATTCTTCTGTGCTGAGCAGTCTCCATTCTGACAGATCCTGTGATCCAGAAGGTGCTTCTTTATTCTTCCCAGCAATTCGGAATCACTTGGGGCCAGTCTTCAACATCCTAAACTCACCTCCAGAAAGAATCACTCCCTCTCCCACTGGTCATTCCATCTGGGCCCTGCGGTGCTCCTGATTCTCTGAGCGCTTCTCTTTTAGATGTGTACTGTGTAACTTCTGCATTCTTGGACAGACTGCTTTCAAGATGTTCTTGAGTCATTTCATTGTGTGTCTTCCGGAAGCCTCCACATGGAGGCAGCAGCAAGCAACTGGAGTCTGGCTGACACCTCCGGGATGGGTGTGACGTGACCCTCACCAGTTAGACCAAAGGATCTTTCAGGAACTCTGGATAACATTAGGGGAAGAGTGCATTTCCCTAACAAAGTCATGCTAATTCATCTTTGCAGAAATGCTTATTAATTCTGTCATGATTCAGCAATACTAGGTAAATAAAAATATAAGATTTGACTCCCTGGCTGGAACTTACCCAATATTTTAGCAGACGGAGAGTGATTTTTTTCAAAACTAAGCTTACTACAAAATTACACATTTTGCTCTAGTTTGAAATTTAGTACTTATCAGATCACAACACTGGAAATCCAACTGAGTTTTGGGAGTCAAAGTAAATACTGAGAATAGTGTGCTAAGAATACTATTTTTGTCATGAATTACATTTTACAATGGGATAAACATATATAAGTTTTCTTCTCGTTGTAACGACTACATTTTGGGGGTTATCTGTTTACCCCTTGTCATTCAATACTAACACCATGAAAAGTGGAACAAGCATACCATAAGTGCCTCTCAATGCAATGTACTATCTGTTAAGGTCTCTTCCCAAAATAATCTAGTCAGAATCTAATTAAACCTCTAGATCTTATAACCATTATTCAGGAAATCAGGGGGATAGAGAAACATGTCAGACAACATCATGAGGATACAGGGAGACAAATCCAGAATGTGGGAAATTCTAAAGGCAAATGTAACAATTTATAGTGTAAAAAAGGGATGGGGTGATATTACAGATTATATGGAACGTAAAAGGTGTAATGACCAAATGCAATGTGTGGGTGATATTTTGATCCTAATTTGAAGAAAGCAATTGTAAAAAGACATTTCTGAGAGAACATGGGAAACCAAACACGGACTTACTATAACTGCGGAATTATAATTGTGTTGGGTGTGATGATGGATATCGGGATATTTAAAAGAGAGACAGACCTATGATGAATAAACCATAATGGAAAAGAATATTAAAAAAAGAATGTATATATATGTATAACTGAGTCACTTTTCTGTACAGCAGTAATTAACACAACATTGTAAATCAACTATACTTCAATTAAAAGAATAAATAAATAATAAAAGAGAGAAAGAAAAAGGGGGGGAGGGAGAAAGAAAGTCTTTATCTGTGAGACATACATAATGAAAGTATTTAAGGGTGAAATGAAACGCTGTCTGGAATTTGGTTTAAAATAATTCCAGGAGAGAAAGAATTGAGGTGAGGGACAGATGAAGATGAATGGCAAAATGTTGGTAACTGTTAAAGTTGGGTGATGGGTATGTGGGTCCATCATTCTCTCTACTTTTGTATATGTATTTGAAAATCCCCACATTAAAAAGTTTAAAAAAGAAAGTGAGTCAGTATTCATCACTCAGTGCAATGTTGCCTTCTATCAGTCACATGATTATAATTTACCTGTTCTAATGGGAGCTTTGAGGTCCAGGTAAGATCCAGAAGATTCTTCCTCTGACTTTTAGGGGCATCTCTCAGACGTAAAAAGAGTTCTTGTGCATTCAGATTACATAGCTGACACACGCCATGTTCAATTTCAAATACTTTGGCCCGCAGGTAACTGTTATTAGATCGAATCCAAAACTCCTCCTGACATTTCAGAGAGCAAAACCGTGAATCCCAAGCACTTGCTTTATGCTCTTGCTTACTGTGGCAAGTGGGTTGCTGACAGCGAAGGCAAAGTGGATTTCCTTCATTATCCACAGCTTGCAAATAGCCTTTGGATGTAGAAGGTTTCACAGTGAGATCAGCTTGGGCTGTGCTGGGATTTAGAAATGGGACACAAGCTCCATCTTCAAAAAATTCTCTAGAATGAGCAAAATATTGATTAGGTAACTAATGAAGGCTTACTCTATTCAAAGTAATTTTTACTTCATTTAAAGGTCTTCAAAGTTTCTATACTGATAAACAGTAAATATGGGGCCCACAGATTTTGTGATTCAGTGTGGAAATGAAATAGCTATAGTCGGCACACTACTCCACGGCAAGTAAAAGAAAGAATGTTGTGTTCAAAAAAATAATTTGCAAACAAATATGCTGCCTCTCTTGGGAACTTAGATGTCTTCAAGTTACACACTCAGACTCTCGAGAAGGAAAATGAGAAGTTAGAAAATGCTTCTTTAGGCTGGGAAAGGGCAGGGTGATGGAAAACCTCAGCTAAAGTTAGTGGCTACCCTGCTCTCTAGATGTGTCAGGTCACACACCCCATTAGGACCGAGAGGCCGTTACCAAGGCTTCCAGGAACACTCTCTTCCGGCCTCTGCTGGCCTTCAGGAAAAAGATCATTCATATCCATTAAGTGACAGAGCCAGGGAGTTAACAGTGCTGATAGGAATTAGAACAGGAGACTTGCTAAATACGCACCTCCTACGGGTAAACTCTGCGTCGACAGAATTAAAATTAGAGATGAAACATGGTAGGACATAAACTCCATTTGTTAGAATAAAAGGAAAAGGTACATTACTCAGTTTTGTTGAAAAGTCCTACATGGGAATTACAATAGCTGCTTTGCTCATTTTCCATGGCTGGCTGTTAGAGTGTTAAAAGAAAACTTTTTATGATAGTAAGAACTCAAGACTGGGGGGCAGAGCCCAGATTTGACCTCAGCTCTGCTAGCATCTAGTGGCCTGAGGCAGGTCACTTGACCCACCTGCAGGATCCTTCTTTACCTCTAATTTCTAAGATGAGGGCATCAGGAGCCTCACAGGGTTGCTAGGAGGACAGAAGAGCTATTACATTGTAAAAGCTTTTTGTAACCTGTAAAGTAGCCACACAAAGGTAAAGTATTATTACAAAAATGAAAGCATAAATTTAAAGGAATAGTCTTAGTACTACTATGCCCGACAAGTAAAAAAAAAAACCCTTACTTTGTAGAAGGGACCCCTGGCCTGGACCCCTTTGTGATCAGACGGACATGGCCCCCATCATTCTTCACCTTGTCCACTGAGGCTACAGCAACATCTTCTTTGGTTATGTATCTAAAACAAATACATGTGAAGTAGATTTCCTCTCTCCTATAAGAGTTTCTCTATTTCATGTTCACATTTCTCCTTGTGAAAAGCAATAGGAGAAAAAGAAATATATGAGTCTATTCATTGTGCTAATACTTAAATTAGGGAATGGAATTTTTTCCCTCTACATTGGTCTCCACATGTAGGAAACACATCTCTTTGTTCCAAATTAGTTTTCTCAAGATTTATTTTTCTAAGAAATTCAAGAGTCATTCAATATCCTTTGGACAAATTTTCGCTTAGGGGAAAAAAGGCGTGGGTGTAGGAATAAGAAATGATCAAATACATGCACCACTGACAGCCCTAAGTAAACTGCTTGCCAAGCTGTGCAGAAAATCTCTAACTGGATTTTCACCTCCCTATTGGTCTTCTCTTCAAGGCTCCTCACATCACCTTAATCAGTTATAACAGTGTATCAGTGTATTCAGATAAAGTGATTCTCTTTTTAGTTAACTAGATTCAATCACATTGTCTATAATCTTAAGGTTGTTTCCATTATTATCAGCTCATATAGAGTTTATGGAATCTTCCACTGAAATAAAGCCACTCTTGATGTGGGATTCAGAACCTTATTACACAACACCATCAATACCACATAATGGTTTAGGGACTGGAAGTAAAGAGGAAAGTTATTCCAATTAAAGGTGACGGGGGAATTTAAGTAGGTGAAATGCAATTACCCAATTAATTCCTTCTAATTAGCATGGCCTGGTTTCTCTAGTAGTTTACACCTATTGCAATTTTCTTTAAAAATTACTTTAAACATGCATTTTTTTCATATTCTCAAATACTTCTTCATTTGGTAACTTGACAATAAAATTCAAGTTAAATCACAATGGAATTGTGCAGTTACAGGTAAAATTTTAGAAATTTGCTTTTATGTTGTTGAAGTAGATTTAGTAATTAATAGAATTCCTCCTTTTTATAAAGTAGTTTATTAATTTTTTGATGAGGTGATACATGCACATATTTCACAATTTTAAAGGCACGCACTGCTTTATATGGTGAACAGTGTTTCCCTTCCATTCCCATCCTTTTCTCCCCGCTTCCCCAAACTATCTCTGTTGCCAATTTTCAATACATCCTTCTAGAAATAGTTCATTTTTTATGTGTATAACTTTTATTTCTTTCTTTGTATTTTTATGGACATACAATTCACATACCATAAAATTGACCATTTTCAAGTTTACAATTCAGTGTATTTTAGTATATTCATAAGGCTGTACAACCTTCACCACTATCTAATTCCAGAACATTTTTATCACCCCAAAAAGAAACCCATAGCCATTAGCAGTCACTCCCCATTATACTTTTTATTTTTAAAAACAAATGGTGGCATAATATACACATTAATCTTCACCTTGCTCTTTTTCCCTAAACATACATCTTGGAGATCTTTCCATATTAGCACACATAGAATTGCCCTATTTTTTTAAATGGCTGCATGTTATTTCATCATTTCGACAAACCATATGATGTATCTTACCAGTCTCTGATTAATGTCCATTTAGGTTGTTCCAGTCTCTGCTATCACAAACAATGCTGTACAAAATATCCCCATCCCAAATATCCCTATTTTCTACACAATAAGTAGCTGTAGAATAAATTCCCAGAAGTAGAATTGCTGGGTCAAAGATCTTGGGTGCTTTAAATTTGGACAGATTTTGACAAATTGTTCTCCTCTGGTTTTGTACAAATTTATACATCCACCAACAATGGAGAGCCCCTGTTTCCTCACACTTTCACTAGCACAAGGTATATCAGTTAAAAATATCTCTGCTAATGGTGATAGGTATCTTGTTATAGCTTTACATTTGCATTTCTTCTGTTAAGAGGAAGGATGACTATCTTTTCACATGTTGGCATTTCTACTTGTGTGTCTTTCTTAAAGCAAAAAAAAGAATCACAGTGAATTCTTTAAGTATTCTTTAACTTGCCCTTTTAGCTCCTAAATTCCCTCCCCCCTCCTATCTTCAACCATTTCATTCCCTTGACAAAAGCACTTTGCTAAAGTATTCCAGCATATTCTAAAAGAACTCAAAAGCTTCTAGCTTTGATGGGCAATGGGATATTAAGCCTTGCCTCAGGGATTATTCAATGTTTAAAAGCTTAGAAGCTTAATTTAGTAACTTTAAAAGATGCTGAGAAAGCTGGGACTTCCCTGGTGGTGCAGTGGTTGGGAGTCCGCCTGCCAATGCAGGGGACATGGGTTCGAGCCCTGGTCCGGGAAGATCCCACATGCTGCGGAGCAACTAAGCCTGTGTGCCACAACTACTGAGCCTGCGCTCTAGAGCCCACGAGCCACAACTACTGAAGCCCGCGTGCCTAGAGCCCGTGCTCCGCAACAAGAGAAGCCACCGCAATGAGAGGTCCGCGCACCGCAACGAAGAGTAGCCCCCGCTCGCCACAACTAGAGAAAGCCCGTGCGCAGCAACGAAGACCCAACGCAGCCACAAATAAATTAATTCATTAATTAAAAAAAAAAGATGCTGAGAAATCTATTCAGAGATTTAAGAACTAAAAATAACCAGAGGTTACTTCCCATGAGAGGTTTAAGTACAAATTTTTGGAAACCACAAGAAATGGATCAATCAACCCCAAAGTGGGTTGCTGGCAACTTTTCAAACATAGCTGTGTTATCAATATTTAATTTTCCATTGAGTTTTGCCAAAAAGTTCATGTAAGCATACCAACTTTCAAAAGGATTATGGTAAATCCGAATTTTGACAGATAGGGAAGGAAGAATACTGTCTACTCAAGTAATTCCTGGATGGGGGTGATCAGAGGAGATGGCAAGTTTTGCAATAAAAGAGGAGTGAGTTGGAAGGTGGCCTGAACCAATGAGAAGAGTGGTGGGCTCAGGACTTCCCTGGTGGTGCAGTGGTTAAGACTGCGCTCCCAATGCAGGGGGCCTGGGTTCGATCCCTGGTCAGAGCACTAGATCCCACATGCATGCCACAACTAAGCAGTCCACATGCTGCAACTAAGGAACCCGTCTGCTGCAACCAAGACCCAGCACAACCAAAAAAAAAAAAAAAGAAAGAACAGTGCTGGGCTCTAGGCTGTTGACTTGCTTTAGAGATCAGCTGTGGCTAGAGGTTAAACTTGGCATTCTAAACCCACAGGTTTCCAAGTGAATCAGACCTGCCCTTTGACAAGTGGAAACCCACTTAGGAACCTAAACAATGGCTGGTGATCTTGGCTTCTATTTATATTTAAGAGTGAGCTGCTCAAAAGCTGACTACAAACTCTGAGCTTGGACGCAGCCTGCAAATGAGTGGATGCCACTGGAGGATAATCATGTTGGGAGTTCTAGCCATTGCTTTTGGGAGAATTCCTGAAAACTAGTATATATGTGTCTTTATTCTGAAGCCATTCCATCTTTTCAGAGATGAATCCTCTAATCTCATGCCTACAAAGTAAAATGTGGCTGTTGGTATGGCAGCTGAGCCAAGAAAGGGACCTGGGGAGTGTAGTTTCCAGTATAACGCCTCTCCATTTATCTCCACTGAGGTTGGTGTTTCCAAGACTGGTGCCTCTCTCGTTCAGTTTCTCTATAGAGGACAGTGGGAAGGCAAGGCATCCAATGTCTAACTGCTCCTCATATAGACTTCCAATCAATGCTGTTGTGTAGCCCCATCTTTCATACCTGCTTTCAGAGAGACACAGTTACTCCAGTTTACTGAGACTTACTGGGGTTCTACAGCCAGAATCAGCATGCTTCCTCAAAGCATCCTCCTCTGCAGGTGCACATGTTTCATTTTCATGGCTCTGCTAAGTCCATGTCCCTGGAGCCCCCTCTCTCCACCTCTCTTTCATCAGTGACCAAGGTCTCTAGATCTACCTCTGTAACACATCTCTTTACTCTCTTTCCTCCATTCCCATTTCTAACGCCTCAATAAAAGCCCTCATCTTTTTTCTCCAGGTCTACTGTAATAGTCTCTTAATGTCTGTGGTAAGCAGAATTTTAAAGATAGCTCCCTAGGAGTCCTGTTCCCTGGTATTCAATTGAACACTTATCTAGGTAATGCTGTAAAGGGATGCTGCAGATGTAATTAAGGTTATGAATTAGCTGACCTTAAGACAGGGAGCAATTCAAAGCATGAGAAGGATTTCACACACCACTTCTGATCCTGAGATGTAGGGGCCCATGTGCTAGAACTAAAAAGAAGCTGAGAGTGGCTCCCAGTCGACAGTCAGCAAGGAAACCTAAGTCCTACAACCACAATGAACTGAATTCTGTTAACAACCTGAATGCGTGTGGAAATGGATTCTTCCCAGACTATCAGTAAGAGCCCAGCCATCTTTTTTTCAGCCTCGTAAAATCCAGAGCAGAGAAACAAGTAGAGCCAACTCAGACTGCTGACTTAAAAACTGTGAGATAATAAATTTCTGTTGTTTTAAGCTGCTAAGTTTGTGGTAATTTGTCACGGCAGCCACAGGAAGCTAATGCCACTTGTCTCCCTTCGAGTCTTGCCCTTTCAGTCTAATCTTCCAACTGCTGCCAGAGTGAGCTCTTAAAATACAAATCTGATTATTTACTCCGCTGCTTGTTAACATAGTTTTATCTTTAATATATCACCTACATATATTTTTATAAATAACACTGTGTGTCTGACTTGGTTTTATATTGATTTTATGACTTTTGCTTTTACACCTGACCAGCCTTCTTTCTGAGGTGGTGCTTCCATGTCTGCTGGAGAAGAAACAATGGGGCATGCTGTAAATTCAGTTAGGAAGGGTATTATGATCATGTAAAGAGAAGACCAATACTTCAACTAAGACTATGGTTATAAAAATGAAAAAAGGAGAGGACTGGAAGAAGTATTGAGAAAAGTAAAACAGGCATCGTGTTTTTTGTTAAGTGTGTGTGTATATGTATGTGTAGGTTTCTGTGTGTATGTATGAATACACACGTATATTTTTAATGTATTTTTTACATAAAGCAATACACACTCATGGGAAAATTCAACCAGTATAAAGAGTTGAGGCGATAGTCCAAAACTGGCAGCTCATGGATATATCCAACGAGTCAAAAGGCTTTATTTGACTCTTACAGTGTTTTATTTTTTAATCTGAATTTGAGTGACGTTAGATGGGTTATGTACTTTCTAATTTGCTATAGCTCTGCTCCCTACCCCATCCTTTTCTAGTTTTACACCTGATCTCATTCATTCATTTACAGTTCCTTGCTTTGTTTTTACTCACATGAGTTTGTAATCCCAGCAAAAAGTATAAAGTCCCTACCATCTCCACAAATCTTCTAATCGTATGGTGTAGAGTAAAACTTCTCAACAGTGCACTAGTGACATTTTGAAATCAGTAACTATTTGTTTGTTCCTGTTCACTGCAGAATTTTTAGCAATATCCCAGCCTCTACCCACTAGATGTTCCCAGTTGTATCCCCTAATTGTGAAAATCTAAAAATGTCTCACAAGACTGCTACCCAGAGAAGAAACTGCCCGTTTGAGAACAAAGTCCTAGAGAAACCTCCGATACGTGTTTCTAAGGTATCCTCCCCGACACTTACTATGTCAATGATAGCAATTATATGTTTGTGTCTCCATCCTTTTTTATACTTATTTTTACCCTTAACAATTTATCACAAACATCGTTCCTTGTTCTCGCATATGAATATACCACAGCTCTATTCTGAAACAGCTGAAGAGATTTTCACAGTATTGCAATATAATGTAGTTAACCAGCTGCACCCCTTCACATCGCATTGATGGATTTTTTTCACCTGTGTGCATGGAAAAAGCTAGAGATCATAAAATGATGGAATGTGAGGATGAAGAGAGTACGGGTATATGGAGACAGCAAGAGCTAAAGGAAGGGGCTTTTTCTGCCAATGCTGCTGTTGGGTTTGGTGCTTTGTGATCTCTTCCAAAGCAAGAGTTGGGGTGTAGAATGGCTGACTGCTTTCCCTGTGAATCTTTGCTTCATGCTGAACAACAGTCTACAGAGAATGGGGATTTCAGATCACACAAGGGGATGTCTGAGTGAGGCAAAGATGATGATGATGCCAAGAAAGGAAAGGTAGTGTGCAGAGAGTAGAAAGGGACCTATAATGATAAAGGCAAGACAGTTACAAATGTGAGACATTTAACCTTTCCTATTACGTTGTTTCCAACCATGGGCATGAAAATTGTTAACCTTCTGCTACTTGCCTGGTAGTACATCAAACAGAACCAGCTCCCATGCTGCATGGTACCCAAGATTCACACTCCAAGAATGAAGGGCAGATGGGGCCCAGAGGCAGGTTCCACTGTTATATCAGGGAAATGTTTTCCTCTTGTCAACCAGTAGCCCAGGCTGGGCAGGTCACAGGTCAGATCAACCTGGGACTCTGGCCTCTCTCCTGACGAGCAGGACCCACAGTGAGCAAGACCCCCCCCCACCCCAGACAACTTGAATCCTTTCCAGCAGATATGATCAAGTTCACAAAATATAAGCTGTCATCTGATGTATAATTTTCTCTTAACTCATCAGGATCTCATTAGTGGTTAATAAAATGCCTTAGACCCTCCGGTAGAAATAACTATGACGAGTAATAAAGTACGAAATAAAGACAGACAACTCATACCTCCTGGTACTGTTTTGTTTGGTTTGCTGCTTTGTGATCTCTTCCAGAGCAAGAATTGGGCTGCAGAACAGCTGCCCACTTTTCCTGATTATCCTTTGCTTCATAGCAGTTAGACTACTCCATTCTCGAACAAACCTCAAAATCTGGCAGAAAATGAGATAATGAAAAGAGTGTACAGCTCGCCAGGCATCTTCCTTTGAAAGTGAGGCTACTTATAACATCTGAAAACTGATGTTTTATTATATCCCCCAAATAGGCTTTGAGTTTCACAGTTGAAGGCTTCCTTCCATTTGATGCAGTTTTCCTATCTTTATTGTGAACTATCTGTGGCCAGTTCTGCATAGGTCTCGTTTAAGCCATAGACTCTCTAAAGGCACGCTTCAGGACACTCAGCCTATGTCTTTAATGCACATAGAGACCAAAAGTGGTCTGGCTGTTGGAAAGACACACCCCACCAGTGGCCGAGGCAAAACTGGTCTTGGGGACAGTGGGTCTTGTGGTGGTGACAGTCACAGTGCAACATCTGAGCATCGCTTGTACCTGACTACCTAAATTCTCACAGGAAAGAAGCCATCAATAATAAATCTGGCACCTTTTATTAGGGTTGCCATTACTCTTACTTATTGGTCAGTTATAGGTAATTGGTTATTTTCTGGCAATCTGAGAATCAAGATTACATGATACCAAAGAAAAGAGCTCATGGCTACCTTTTCCTTTGAGACAGGTGCAGCCAACCAAGGGCAATGTTTCATTTCCGCTCAAAGGGGAAAAACATAATCACTATTTTCTTGTAAAAAGTGGTACACTGCCTGCTGGCTCAGCCCCTGCGATGCTGACCCTTCTTAGCAGTGAAGATAAATCAGCCACAGAGGAGAACTAAGGACTCCCCAACGGGTATGTGGCCTGCGGCTGCACACACATGCTTGCAGCAACGAATGGAGTCACCCCACGTGGTATTATCCCTGCTCTCAGAGCTTGTCAGTGTTAGAACTTAATCTACAAAGATAAAAGGTGGTTCTGTCAGATACAAACATCACAGTTGCTAATCCTGTGAATGAGAAATTAAATGATGTGAGGATGATTCTATACACAGAAACAGCAAACCTAGGTGTGATCATTTGCCAAGGAAACAGATTTCATTTTATTCTTAGCACCGGGGTAATTCATAGGCACTGCCTGGACTGATTAAAATGCAACCAGTGATTTGACTCTGCAACGGGCCACAAAGTGCTCTGCTTTTATTAACCTCAAAAAAGGTCATTAAAATTACTCAACAAATTTTCATTTAGAACAAACGCGCAGGACTATTCTTACCAGGGAGCGATTTTGCTTCAGCTGAAAGCTTGCTGGTAAATCTTCCCAAAGGTCTAATTTTATATCCAAAGGAATGAAATTACAGTTCATCTGGTTTCCATCCTGATTATAGATTAGGAAGGCAATATTAATACATTTTGTCTGTAGGCACTAATAATTATTTTAAAAGTAAAGAATTCTATTATGGCATCGCATGCCCAGTCTCCTAAAAGATAAACTGAGGAGGCTCATTCTAGACAAGATTCCACCCACACAGCTCCCCTGAAAGAACGCTGAGTGGAGAAGGAGGGCCAGGCTCTCACGCCCTCTGGGTGTCCTCACTGCATTCAATCTTAAGGGTAAGCGATCCCATGCAGAGGGGTGTGGTCAGTCAAATACGAGGTTTAAACATGAAGTATTTCTTTTACAAAGGGAAAGAAGAATCTTTGTATACGGATATCTACTGTATAAACAATAGTTGAACCCACATTCTATAGAATTCTCTCAGCCAAAAGGTAACGTTACAGTTCCCACATCACTTTGGGGGAAAAAACATACAAAAAGTACTTACATAGTGATTAAAAGTTTAGATATGTAATCATCACTCTAAACTCTGCATTAGACACGGGATTCTGGCTGAAATGAACAGTTCTTTAGAGGTATACTATTAACATGACATAAGATGCTAAACATCTGTTACTGCTCCTCCTTTTAAAGGGTGCTCTTTTAGGCACTGAACTAGGATTTTTATCCAAATTTCTGTTTCTAGATTTTATTTCAGATCTCCTAAGGTAAAAAGGAAAGCTTTCATCTGAACTCTCCTGTAGCTGTGAAAATCCCTGTTGACATTTCATCTGCTTAGTGTCTCAGGTTTAGAAAACTGATTGAACAACATTTCATGGCAAGGGGACATGTAAGTATTTAGAAGAGTCATAAAAATGCACTTGAGACTAGTGCACAGGCGGGGCGTTCGAGCCAGAATGTGGGTCAGGGAGGCCACGGTATTTGCCTGGCGGTGGGCACACTCCACTCTCTACCAGGAGTTTGCAGTTTCTCTCCGGTCTCCACCCAAGGGGGAAACACCCTGATCAGATGATCCAGGATGCAGAGGCTTCACTGAGAGTAAAAAGTTTAAGGGCTTCTGAATTCCTGTACGTGCTCTGCCTGGGGTCCGCCTTCCGGCTTCTGGACCTTCCAGCACCTGGGGGATCCGTTCTCTGTTATTCTCAGATCATGTAGACATGATGGTCTGAGAAGCACAGCCTGGAACTCCCCATATGAGGGGACAAGGAAGCGCAGGCACTTAGACCTGTCTCTAGGCGAGCAGAGGGGTGCTTGGTGCTCCCCGAGTCTAGAGGTTCCACATGGTGGACCAAAGTCCAAGCCTTTAAGGGGAACGTGTCCTGTCTTCATTCTCAGTATCGCTCTTGGTGGTGGTCCCACAGTGGAGGCTGCCTGGGGCTTCTGGTATTCAGGATCCTAGCCATCTCTAATCTTCTAGCAGTATCTTCTAATATTCAGTTAGAACTGAAGATTATTACGTGGTACACCATCTATCTGTATCTAATATTTGGTTTAGCAGAAAACCCATAACTGAGTTTGGGCAGCTGCAACCTAAGTTATCTTTAAAAAGGCATTCTGAGAATTCCCTGGTAGTCCAGTGGTTAGGGCTCCACATTTCCACTGTGGAGGACAGGATGGGTGAGGGTTCTAGCCCTGGTCGGGGAACTAAGATTCCGCATGCCGTGTGGTACAGCCAAAAAACAAAACAAAACAAAACAAGACCAAAAAGGCATTCTTTCAATAGGGTGACCCATGAGTTTAAAAACGCACAAATACTATTTTATGATACTTATGAAGATTAGAGGTTTGAAACCGTAGAACAAACAAAAGTGTTCATAATCTTAGTAATTTTTTCTCTCAAACACTCACACTAGTTATTCTCGACCAAAGATTCTCACATGGTCTGCAAGACCCTTTCAGAAGATCCAGAGAGTCACAAGAGTTTTATAATAATAGTACAACATCATTGGCCTTTTTCACTCTCATTCTCTTTTGAATGTACAGTAATGTTTCCCATGCACAGGCAGATCTGAGAATCCCACTGTCTTCTACTGAGACTTCAGAGGAAATTGCTAAAACTGTAAAACAATGCCACTTTCCTCACTGAACACTGTTTTTGTTTTGGCAGATATAATTCGTTTTCATAAAAATATGCTTCTTCTATAAATATGTAATGGACTTACTCTTAAGCAAATATTTTAAAGTGTTTCCATTTTAATTTCAAACAGTAAACATCAATAGATATAACCCACATAAACAAAAGCTCTTTGGGTCCTCAACAAATTTTAGGAGTGCAGAGAGGTCCTGAAAAGTCTGAGTGCTGCTAACCCGGGCTATGGCGGGAATCGGAGCAATCATATTGTTAAAGCTTCCTAGGGTTTACTCCACACGGATGGGCAGGCTTAGGCTTCTGTAGAGACGCTACTGCTGCTGTAGCTGCAGGATCAGTGCAGGAGCCAACTCTGAGTGAGAGCTCATGACGGCCAGGCACTGTGCTAAGTCCCCTACAGGAATTAGCTTATTTTGTCCTGGAAACAACTCCTCCATATTTTACAGTTGAGGAGACTGAGGCACGGAGCAGTTAAGTACTGTGTCCAAGATTCCACAGTTAGTGACAGGTATGAACTGAGGCACCCTGGCCGTGAAGTCTACACTCTTAACTACTATGCTGTTTACCTCTCATTGCCTTTAGATTTAACAGAGGAATTTGAAAATTAGCTTTAAGGAGGAAAAGAACTTGATGCCTATCTCATTGCTAATAAAATTAATTATCTCCACTGAAACATGAAAAAAGGAAGCCTTTTGTATGTTTCCAGAATCCACATGATGCTTACCTTAGTATAGACGTGAATCCGGTCAGTGTTCTTGCTCGCACAAAACATTAAGGTATCACACACTGGCAAAGTGTCCGTACTCTTCAACTGTTCTAATAAACAAGATAAAAAAGAACCTGAAGGTGAATCTGCCCTCTGTCCAAAACAGCTTATTCTAATCTTCTGTGGGTTAGGATGATGAAATGGCTATAACAAATATATCAACATATTTGACAACGTACATGTGTCTGGGTGTGAAATAAAACATGGTAGGCCATCTAAGAGCAGATTGGCTTATGTGGTAACCAGTTGCTTTGAACTGTTGCTAATGACCCAACAAGAAAAAAAGAAATTTAGCATTCGCTAAAAAGATAAGAGTCAGGCATAAGGGAGAGCTTCCTGCCCCTCGAGAGTCCTTATCGATCTTGAAGACTTCTAGAATCTATTCCTGTTGCTAGAGAGGGTTTAAGTTAAGACTGAAGGAGCACCATTTTGATTATCAGCAGCAATACAGCTGTGTCGAGGACCACCTAAATGACTGATGGCCTATGGCCTGGTGCCTCACATTCACAAAAGGAGATGAGTGGAGAAGCCTCCTTTCTGATAATCCCTCTTTATTTTTCCTTTCTCAGTCCTACTGACCAATATATTCTGCAAGAGAAATAGGGTTATTCAAGCAGATCTAAATAATAATTACAGTTAGCACTTATCAAGCACTTAAAATGTGCCAGGTACTGTTCCAAGTACACATATTAACAACTCTCAGAAATTAAGTAGTGCATTTTACAGAGGGGGAAACTGAGGCACATTAATCTGCCCAAAGCCACTAGTAAGAGACCAGTAATCTGGCTCCAGAGCCTGTGCTCTTAATCTCTGCCATAGCTCCTCAGTGACCTTTTAAGGTATTTTTCCAGATCTAGAAGTCTATGATTTGTTTGAGATTCTATTTAGCAATGTCATCTATTTTAATTTTTCTAATCAAGGCATCAGTCACTTTACAAACTTGGACTGTGGATTATTCCCATATTTCATAAATTCAAAATGTACATTTTTTTCCACACTTTAACATCTCTGAAATTGGCATGTCTTACAGTCAATAATCGTGGCATTTTACAACCATGGTTGGCCAGGTGGCAGTTGTGAGGAAGTTGTCACTGCCTGAGCATAAGCTTAGTCATAACTACAATATCGTTGTCACTTTGACACTACACTTGAGATACAAGCATTGTTGTTACTGAGTATTAAGTTTAATTACCTTTAAAATGTCTTCAAAATGTTTCACTATGGTTTGGGATTGAAATGAAAAGTTATCATGTATACGAAAAACTCGGACACAGAGCAGAAGAGCATAAATTTGTTATTAAAGAAGCAACTATGTATCACCAGAGGAATAACCAGAATTTCTCATTGAGAAATTTCTTATTCTTGCCAAGGAATAACCAAGTGCTTCACGGGACCTAAGAAAGGGAGATCACTGCGAACAGAGAAAGATGTGTTATATTTGAATACTGAAATGTGCAAAAGGGTTGTCTATTACATGCCAAGCAAGGCAAGGGAAGGCAGGAGAAGCTGCCAGATCCCTCAGAACAAATGCAAGTGATGTCAAAGCAACAGAGGGTCTTATGATCTGGTCTGGGCTATCATTAATTTATTGTGTCGTAGCTTAATTGACAGAGTTGTTTTCTTTTTTAATGTACATAAAGTAAGTGCATCTCATAATCACTGTGTCTCCAGATTTGAAGAACTACGGTTAACGCATTAATGCTTAAAGATCAGAAGTCATTCTTTGATAAAAAGAATTACGAGAACAACTCCAAGTCAGTTGACATTCTTGGTAGCTAGTAGCTACATTAGGGGACATATTTTTCTTTTCATTGTTTTCATGAAGTATAATTTAATGGTTTGAAACTACAGATAATGCATCTTTTGAAGATACAGCCATCCTTCCAGACCCCTAGAATTCCAGTTAGAACGAAACTACAGTTCCAGCATGGTATATACCGTTCTGGTTCTAAAAGAGCATATGTGGATAGAAGAAGCATTTTACTATAATGTGCCTTCTCTGTCTTCCTTCTGTTTTTCAAGGAAATTCATGTTAGTGAGTAGACGTGAAGCATATCGCTTTTGTGGCGGTCTCAGTCCAGTGATTTGAGAAGTTAAAAAAAAAAAAAAAAGAGAGAGAGAGAAGAGGGAATAGGTATGGGGGAAATGCTGGCATTGTCTACTGGATGAGGTCAATGCAAGTTTCAATAGCAGAACAGAATTTTTAAGTTTAGTGGTTTTTGGATACCAAGGGGGAAAAGGCGGGTAGGGTGGATTGGGAGATTGGGATTGACATACATACACTACTATGTATAAAAGAGATAACTAATGGGGCTTCCCTGGTGGCGCAGTGGTTGAGAGTCGCCTGCCGATGCTAGTGGTCATGGGTTCGTGCCCCAGTCCGGGAAGATCCCACATGCCACGGAGCGGTTAGGCCCGTGAGCCATGGCCGCTAAGCCTGTGAGTCCGGAGCCTGTGCTCCGTTAACGGGAGAGGCCACAACAGTGAGAGGCCCGCGTACCGCAAAAAAAAAAAAAAAGATAACTAATGAAAACAGACTGTATATCACAGGGAACTGTACCCAATGCTCTGTGGTGATCTGAATGGGAAGGAAACCCAAGGAAGAGGGGATATATGTACACGTGTGGCTGATTCACTTTGCTGCACAGCAGAAATTAACACAGTATTATAAAGCAAGTATACTCTGGTAAATAAATAAATAAAAGTCTAGTGATTTTTGAAAAGTATGTGTAAGTAAAGCTAACATATATCTTCATCAAGGGACCAATTTGTAACTAATATGCCAGTATTTCCCTGCCATAGATGGAGAGACTCATGGCCCAGCTGACGACAATTGCCAGTTGCTGATTCTGGGTCTGATGTTTAGTTAACTGAGCAGTACGCTATCCTAGAGCAACAGCTTCATCACCACTGGAGGGACTGTCACAGCAAGAACAAGGAAACTAGAGACAAAGAGTCTGAGTCTACATTGTCTACTTAAAGGCCGTTAAAATTAACAGATCTAAACAGGATCCATTGTAAGACAGTTCTGGGAAGACCTTGAGGAATTAGAGGAAAGGAAAGCTGAGTAAAGAAGAAAGGAGGATGCCCTGAGCTCAGAAATACTTAAAGGAACATTTCATTTAAGACCTATGAACCCAACTCTAAATTATCTATGTTTAACAGCAACTACCTTAAAAGAAAAACTGACAGTCCATCCCAACCATTTTGGGGTTGTTATAATGAGAACATCAACCTGTGGGTTACTATGGTCACCAACTGAGTAACAAAGAAAATAACCCAAAAGTACTCACAATCTTTTGCCAGTTGGCCCATAAAGAGTGATGTATGACATATAGGCTGGTATTTGCCAACCATCACAGCTATAAACGATGAATGGAAACAACAAAAAAGTAAATAAATCTGAGACACTGCATGGCTGGTTCCAAACACAGTCATGATTCACACAGTCTTGAAATTATTAAAAAAAAAAAAAAACCTTCAAAACCCTAAATATAAAATATGCCAATTAATTGTAGCCATTTAAAAGAAATTCATGTGTGAAGGGTTAATGACCTCCTAAGTGGCTGTTAATAATCTGTCAATCTTACAACAATCCACATGGTCCAAAGGAACCCCCAAACATTAAAACCACCCTCTCACCGGGAGAATGGGCCAGGCTCGGTGGAGGCCGGGCAACAGGCCTGAGATAGTACATGCGGCCACGTATGGGTTTAGCTCTCTGTGTAACATCTGAATGTCAGCAGCTCTGCTCTTCCAGCCATCTGGTGCTTATGTATGTAGTTACAAGTAGTTGGTATTTTTAATACAAAAGGGAATACAAGGAACCTGGAACAAGGTAGTAATCGCAAGTCTACTAACAGTATTATGTGTCTACGTATATGGTTATTATTTGGATCCTGGAAATGGAAGCAAGACTTACCATCACCTGGCTGGGGTGTGAGTCTGTCCTCACCCTCAGTTTTTGAAACTTCTTCCTGGCTCTCAGCTAACGGTTCAGGTGCTGAATGTGCAAGGACTTGTTTTTCCCCGGCAGAACGAGTCCATATTTTTTCGGAGGTGTCTTTCCGAGAATCATCTTTCTCGTTTCTGTTTTTATACTGGGTGTGGTGGAGGCTATCTATTTGTAGAACAAATTTATACAACAAATAAACAAATTAATTTGTTTATTAAAATCAAACAAATAATTTACATTTAGGTAAAGTCATTATGTACTCTAAGCCCAATATAGAAAAGTAAGGTTAAAAAAAAGTCACAGCTAGGTTTTATAAAAAGAAACAAAGTCAACAATGTTTGTTCTTTCTTTCAAAACATGCATCGGGAGTCACTAAAGACCAAGTACTACTCTAGGTGCTGGAGAGGCAGAGCAGAAGACAAGACAGAAATTTCCCTGCTTCCTGGGGATTCCATTCCAAGGGGCAGAAATAAACAGGTAAACAAATAGGATCTTTTCAGATAAAGAGAGTAAGTGAGTAAGGGGATGGGGTAGGAGGAGAAAAGTCAGCAGGCCCTTTTGAGCTGAGAGCTGCTCAGGAATCTAGGAAGCCTGGCCCCAGGGGGCCTGTATTCTTAGATTAGATTCTTAGTGTAACTGGAAGCCATTAAAGGGTTTTAAGCAAAGGAATGTAATGATCTGAGTTTTTAAAGGATCACTCTGCTGTGTAGAGAAGGACCAGCCTCACGGAGGCTTCTGAGGTCCTGAGAGAGAGATGATGGTGGCTTCCAGTGGGACGGTAGCAGTGAAGATGAAGTGGCTGGAATCAAGATATATTGTAGAGGTTATACTAGCAGAACTTCATGAAGTGGCAGGAGAGGGAAGAATCAAAGATGCTGCCTCTAGGTTTTTTTAACACGATGTGGGGAAGATGGGGGGAGAGAAGATTTAGTGTTAGATGTGGTGGTGGTGAATCAAGAATTCCATTTTGGACAAGTTAAGCTTGAGGTACCCATTTGGACATCCAGGTGGAGATGTTACATAGGCCACTAGATACATCCAATCTGGAATTCAAGATACATCCAATCTGGGCATATGAGCTATAAGATGCTGAGTATAAGCACTAGCTGTTAAGAACAAAGCACAATACTAGTGTTCAATGTATATTATACCAAATTTTATCTAACATACTAGAGACTGCATTAGCAACCTTTATAGGACTTTCCAGTCCTATATCTTAATATTGCTCCTTTAAGTTTTTGAATTCCACTGTTTCCTCAAACTGTTATATGGCAGGTATTGATTTAAAAATTTGGATGAATTATGGGGGGGGAGGGATAGTTAGGGAGTTTGGGATAGACATCTACATACTGCTATATTTAAAATGGATAACCAACAAGGACCTACTGTACAGCACAGGGAACTCTGCTCAATATTATGTAACAACCCAATTGGGAAAAGAATTTGAAAAAGAATGGATACATGTATACTATAACTGAGTCACTCTGTCATACACCTGAAACTGACACAACATTGTTAACCAATTATACTCCAATATAAAATAAAAAGTTTAAAATAATAAACTAAACTAAAATGTAGATGGATTAGAATTAATTCTGCTTTTTAATGCTTTTGGGATGCAACCACACCAAGGTTGGAAATCATTATGTCAAACTGCAGTAGTATTAATCTAATAATTATAACTATCATACACAGTAATATCACCATTACTTAGAATATGTATTGCTCTTGGGGACTTCCCTGGTGGCACAATGGTTAAGAATCCGCCTGCCAATGCAGGGGACACGGGTTCGAGCCCTGGTCCGGGAAGATCCCATATGCTGCGGAGGAACTAAGCCCATGCGCCACAACTACTGAGCCTGTGTGCCACAACTACTGAAGCCTGCGCGCCTAGAGCCCATGCTCTGCAACAAGAGAAGCCACCGCAATGAGAAGCCTGCGCACCATAACGAAGAGTAGCCCCTGCTCGCTGCAACTAAAGAAAGCCTGCGCACAGCAACGAAGACCCAACACAGCCAAAAGTAAATAAATAAATAAATAGATTGATTTAAAGAAAAAAGAAAGAATATGTATTGCTCTTAATCAGACTGTTTCATATTCACAAAAGGTGTTTTGTTTTTCTTAGACTGCTTGACAGTTTGCTTATTAAATCATGGTTCTAGAAATCTTCATTGCTGCTCTTAGTATCACAGAGAAAAATCAGAACTATAAAACCCTTTTAGGACTTCCCTGGTGGTGCAGCGGTTAAGAGTCCACCTGCCAATGCAGGGGACACAGGTTTGAGCCCTGGTCCGGGAAGATCCCACATGCCGTGGAGCAACTAAGCCCGTGCGCCACAACTACTGAGCCTGCGCTCTAGAGCCCGTGAGCCTCAACTACTGAAGTCCGCATGCCTAGAGCCCGTGCTCCGCAACAAGAGAAGCCACCGCAATGAGAAGCCCACACACCACAAGGAAGAGTAGCCCTCGCTTGCCGCAACTAGAGAACGCCCGCACGTTCAGCAACAAAGACCCAACTCAGTCAAAAATTAAAAAAAAATAAAAAACCCTATTAAACTATGATTTTTATTGCTCAGTCACTCAATTTATAGACTTCATGTGAACTGATATTATTTTGTAGTCACGAGATATTTTATTTTTATTGCCTGTAGCAGTTGGAAATTGAATGAGATAATGCAAATTGTGGGAGATATTATATGGAATAAGCTTGTGGCTCCAATTTAGTTCATAGACAACAGGTGTCCACATTACAAATATAACCACCCAGATGGCAGACTTGTCAGTTTTGGTAGGAACACCCAGAATTGAAGGAGGAAAGACTCAGCTACTGATTACATTTTCTTTCACATCAAAACTAAGGCAGAGGAGAGCAAGGAAAGCAGGAAGGAACTGGAGCATCAGAGCTTCTATCTTTGCAGAGTCTTCGTTAATGTCAATACTCAGAATAATTCACATAAGATGGAAAAGTGGATGTGTATAATTATTACAGTTGATAAAATTTTATTTTATTTATGATCTTTTCCAGTTTCCAAAACGGTCAACTTGGCATTTTCAGTTGCCATAAAAATGGTCTCTAAAATTGGAAACAAAAGGAATACTAATGATCTTTTCTTAAGACAACCACAGTTGTTAATAATCATTTCAAAAATAAAACATCAGAAAATGGCATATCATGCTAGAAAAATATACTCTGGGGTATGTTTATGATTTCTAGTTTTAAATAGCATGTTTTAGAAAAGAATAAATTCATAAAATAGACAGGAAATTGGTTTTTAAAAGAAGATCTATAGAGGAATTTTTATGATTTGTCATGGAAGAAACATTGGCACAATGTATATTTTACTAGGCAAAGAAGCTACGCTGGATTCATTTTGCTATTAGAAATAATAATCTGTAATTTATTTAAAAACAAGTATTATCTACAAAAGAAAGAAAACAGCAGGTCTATGACTATAAGGCATATTTGCTGCCATAGCAACAGAGCTTCTATTCCTGCCCACTGAATTCACATCCTGTTGGCATTAATCAGAAATGTCCATTTGTGCCAAATTAATGCCATGTCACAGACGCTGGGGGATATACATTCTTGACAGAACTGGGAGATTTTCACATTCCACAAGGGGATAAATTCACAGTCTTCACTATGTGAAGTTCTTCCTCCAGCTTAAAAGCTAAAGTTGGTACCCAGTCACACAGATCTCTGATGATAGCAGTTGTCTCTAAAAGCACAGGTTATCTGAGGACACCACTGACAGCCCCCCTCATGGTTGCCCTCTGTGTACTCACCGGCACTGCCCTGAGGATTCTCACACATTTCACAGCAAGGTAACACTGAGTTATTAATATAGGTGCAGAGAGCACACTGCCAGCCTTCACCAGGAAGGGGTGGAGTGGTGGCCTGGGCCTTGGCCTCACAGACCCTGTCCATGAGCGGAGCTTTGGTCTGCCCGGGCTGGGATGGTTTCTCCTCCAGGGGACTGCAGTGGTCATCGGTGGTGACTGATTTCATTTTTTTAGCTTCAGGTTCAAGATCACTTTCATAATCTCTTGTAGCTGTTTTTCCAAGGTCTGCAGGTACTACAGTATTTTTCTCCTGGAATACCCTTGATTCATCACAGGAGGTCACCAACTGTCTCTTCTTAGGGTTTGGTAAAAAGAATGATCGAATATCATGCTGTTTTTCTTTTTCAAACTAGGAAAAATAAAGGTATTAAATTAAGAGGCTATTGAGTATGTTCTTCCTAAATGAAACAGATTAACAAACTCTTTTCATTAGCCATATTCCTTTACCTTTTGAATCCCTTGTTGGAAATGAACTCAATCATGCAATGACTCTTCATATATCCATACACGTAGAATACCACGAACACCTCCATATACTTTCTGTGTCTAACTTTTTTTAGCACTTACAATGTGCCAGTACTTTACATAAATCAACTCATTTAATCCTCATGCCAGCTCTGTGAGGCAGGTACTAGTACTGTTGTTCTTCCCATATTTCAGATGAGGACACTAAAGCTTTAGAGAAGTTAGGTAACTTGGCTATATGAGTTATATAATAAAAATATACTTTATAAACTATCTGCTCTAGATGTATGTCAAGGAAAGGAGGCAACTGTGTGTTTAAAAATTTCAAGTCAATCAAGACCTAGAAAAATGTTTTCATGACCAAACTATAAACACGAACAATGTTCATAAACAATATGTTTTTCATATTAAAATACTTTCCTGACCAGGGAGTATTTTTCAAATAGCATTAAAGATATCAATTAAAAAAAAAGATATCAATTAGAACAGCTTCTTTAATAGACACAGTTTAATAATTATCTTTTTAAGAAATATATCTCTCTTTTCTAAGAACAGCAACTTCACTGTCTCATGTTTTTCATCTTCTTTTCAATGTGTAAATCTCAGTCTCCTAGAGAAAGGAGGATACCCATCTCCACAAATGATTAGCCAGCAGTTAAGGTAAATTAAAGGAGTTAATTTTAGAGCAGTCCTGCTAAGGCCTGAATTGGGTACCATGGTGGACACACACTGTGCCAGACTGCATTTCCAAAAATGGTCATACCAATTCTTATCCCATTTCGTGTACTTGTGACATTGACACACCTACATTTAGAGGTCGGGTCTGTGTTCCTCTCCCTTGAACCTGGGTGGACCTTTGTATCAGTCTCAACCAGCAGAATGCAGTGAAAGTATCACTGTGTGACTTTTGAGGCTAGGTTCTAGAAGCTAATGTGGCTGCTGGCACTCTGTCTCTTCTTCTCTATATCTTTTGGGAGGGACACTAGCCTTTGAAACATAGCCAGCATGTTGTGGGGAAGCCCAGGCCACATGGAGAAACCATGTATGGGTATTCAACCTGACAGTCCCATGTAGGCCCCTAGGTGACAGCCAGCATCCATTATCAGACATGGGAGTGAAGAGGCTTTCAGATGTTTCCTGCTCCCAGTCTCGGGATCTTCCAGCAAAGGTCCCAGTCCTCATGGAGCAGATACGTCATCTCCATTGTACCCTGGTTGAATTCCTTATCCACAGAAACCATGAGAAATAATACATAACTATTGTTGTTTTAAGGCACTAAGTTTTGGGGTAATTTGTTATGCCACAATAGATTACAGAGACAGACACTATAGATAATGACATCCAAATGTTGCAAAGAGATAGTTTACATAATAAATCTTATCTTTCTTTCTTAGTAGTGTTGCATAAGAAAGATTTAGCCAATTAATGGAGACAGAAGGATTAGTGGTTACCGGGAGCTGTAAGAAAGGGAAACAGGGAGTTATTGCTAAATGGTTACAGAGTCTCTGTTTGGGGTAATAAAAAAGTTTTGAAAATAGTGGTGATGGTTGCACAACATTGTGAATGTAATTAATGTCACTGAATAATACACTAAAAATGGTTAAGATGGCAAATTTTACGATTATATATAATCACAAATTTTTTAATTTCAAAAAAGGTTAAAAAGGTAAGAAAAGAAGAAGGAATATTTATGTTGTTCCCATATTGGTAAAATTAAAACATATATTATAGGAAAAAAGGTACCACCCCCCAATAATGTACAACTTTGATTTTGTATGACTGTTATTTATATATTCTCATATACTATTAAAAAGTTATCTAATAAGTTGTGGAAGTTACAGAATTTAGATTAAAATATAAAGAATGAAATCAATAAGACAAGATTTTTAAAACAATGCACAAGGGAAATTCTAAGAAAGGGTGGAGGAAAGCAGAGAGATTATCAGACTAATAGAGTTTGGTGTTAAAAAGTAACAAGGATACAAAGAGAGTTATGCATCTAAAGAGAATGTTCTATTCCATATAATAGGACTGCAAAGAGAGCTTATAGAATTTTGAAAATATTGGCAAATGTTCAGCAAATGTGAACAAATTCTACCGGCTATTTCTAGTTAAACCACAATGATTTTACACGACAGGTTAACTTTCTGAGTCCCTGTACATGTCTGGAAATGAATGACCTGATTTTGCCCTAACTCTCAGTAGTTTTGTTGGGCATACAATTCTTCAAAATCTTTAAAGACATTGCTCTATTTCTTCCAACATCTGATGATACTGACAATGTTCCTTTGTAGGCTGCAAACTCTTTCTTCATTTTAGAGGCTTCTGGGGCCTTTTTATCCCTGGTATTCTAAAATTTCACAATGATCAGTGTCTATATATCTCTATCTGTGTCATCTATATCTATATGCTTTCTGCCCAGCACCCTGAACACCTTATTAATTTTGTATAGTATTGATCATCTTTAGTTCTTAGAAACTTCTATTCTTCCTTGATAGTTTCTTCCTCTTCATTTTCTCTTTTATCTTTTTCTGGAATTCCTGTTAGCAGAATGTTGAACCTAGATATTTATGCCATCTTTTGTTCTCATATTTTCCTTCCTTTTGTCTTTTTGCCCTCTAAACTCTTGGCGTTTAGCTCTATTTTATCTTTCAACCCTTCCATAACATTATTTTAGTTTGGCAGTCATATTTTTAACATCTGTGTTCTTTTTTTGTTTTGTTTTTTGTTTGTTTTGGCTGCAGTGCGTGGCTTGCAGGATTCCTAGTTCCCCGACCAGGGACTGAACCCCGGGCCCCGGCAGTGAAAGTGCTGAGTCCTAACCACTGGGAATTCCCTCTAATACCTAGAAGTTCCTTCTTGTTCCTTTTTTTTTAAATAGTATTCTGATTTTATTTATATTTGCAATGTCATCTCAAATCTAAAACTACGAATTAGTTTTTAAAAAGTTATCTCTATGATCAATTTTTGTATTAGTTTATCTTTGTTCACATTTTTCATGCCACAGATTTCCTCCTCAAATTTCCAATGACCTCATACATAAGAATGAAGGAATAGGAGGGTTGCCTAGGAACTTAGGACACACGGGGCTTATCACCAAGTAGATCGAGTAGGACATACTGATTGAACGCGAGGGGTGAGGAAGATGGAGGGGACCACAGTGATACTCGGACTCCATTGTAGGGATGACATTTTCAGTTACTGTAATAGGGAATATAGGAAGATAAATGGGCTCATTAGAAGACAAAAAGAGAAGAGGTAAGGAAATAAAAGTTCATTTTTAGACATGTGTGAGGACTGGTGTGTGCCAGGGTAGCGAGTTCCAGGAAGCAGGTCCAGAGTTCAAGGGAAAGAGACCCCTGGATTCGCACGTGTGGGAACCACTGACATACAGAGGTGGTTATAGTCAGAGGCCTGGATGTCATGAACAAAGGGAGGAGGAAGTAAGAAAAGGTAAAAGTCATGGACATGAGCAGAGGGACATTAAGGGTGGAACGAGGAGGAAGAGATACCGAGGAAGGGAACAGAGGGAACAGTAAGAAGGGTAGAAAAGCCAGGAGAGTAATGGCTTTAGTGCGCCTGTGTTTTGGTTTCCATTCATTATCCTAGGTACTCAGGGAGCATTTCAATCAGAAAAACCCATGTCCTTCAGATCTGGGAGATTTTCTTATATTATTTTTTCTTCCTGTGTTGTCTCTGTCTTTTCTTTCTGGAATTCCTATTAGGCAAAATCTTCTGAACTGATCATTTGATCTTCTTCACTTTTTTGCACACTTTTCCATTTCTCTTTGTTTTACTTTTTGTGTGATTTCCTTATTATCTTCCTTTCCATCCTTGTCAGATTATTATTTTCTGATATTACAAGTTCAATTTCTAAGAGCTTTTCCTCGTTCTCTGATTTTTCCCTTTCCTTGTTCTTGTTTCTTGGGTGCAGTAATTTCTTTTACTTCTCTGTGAATATCAATGAAAGGCTCTTTGTTTGTTTACTTCAGCTCATTACACCATCTCTGCTTCTTTTGTATCCTTTCTTGTCTTGCATGCTTATTTTTGTCTCTGCATCACCCGTGAGAGGATTTCCTCCAAACTTGGTGGCCTTCACTGTCCATTCACATTTAAGAATAAGACACTAAAATGCCATTGGAAATTCCAAGTGGGGGACCTCACTAAAGGTCATCAGTGACTGTTTGTCAGGGGGTCCCTTTCAGGCTCCATAGTCTTTTTTGGGTCCAGTCAATTTCTCCAGAAAGGAGTCCTTCAATCTCCTGCCGGAAGGATACAATGCTGGCTACCAGTGACCTGGGGGCTGATCAGGAGAAGGGTGCTAAGGATTTCACCATTGATAATGGAGTCTTCCAGTTAATATGTTTATTTTCAGTTTACTGCCTTACCCCACTCCCTCAACTGGCCCTTCTCCTAGATATGCTTTTTAAAGAGGAACAAGTAAAACAGCTAAATAAAATGTCAAAAACAAAGAATACAAGAAGTAAAATAAATAAAATATATAAAGCAGGCCACTGTCACCTATGCTGAATAATAACATCAGCATCTTTTGTCCCATGCTACATTTTAAAGGATTTGTTTCCAGCTGTCCAAAACGTTTTAATCCCTCCATCTCCCCGCCACCAAAAAATAAAAATTAAAAAGATTATTTCAGATTTGTTTATAAAAAAACAACCCTCCCCAAAACCTAAGAAATCTTAAAAAAAATTCTCAGGGCCTTAAAATATCAGGTCTTACAGCTGACCTCTTTAATTAAGCTATTTAATTAAGCCGTTTTAAAAATAACTTCATTTACTATGTAAGCAGTGACTAATTTTAGAAATTAGCATTTGAGAAACTCCCATTATGTATCAGAAGCAGGTTGAGAGTAAAGGTTAGCAGTGA